CCCCCCCCCCCCCCTTCTCCAGATCAGTCGACGATCGAGCTTTCGGCTCCCTGGTAGGCAGAACCCGGCCTATCGGTGAGCATAGCAACGCTAACGACGGCTTTGGTGAACCAGCACCACCACCTTGTCTGGCCTCTGCACGAATCACAAACGTACTCCCCGCCCAGTAACGTAGAGACTTAGCCGTCGACGTTGGGGTTAGGTCTTTGCACCTGGCAACAGATGTCTTAGCCCCGTGGTTACGGGAGGTGACAAAAGCGCAAGACCTTGGCATGTTAGCCCTCAAGTCTTTGCCTGCAGCCGCGCGCAGCTTCTCCAGTGAGCAAAAACGATGTCCAGGTTTGATCGTCTAGCGAAGCAAGCCTTTCACCTTGCCCTCATCGTCGTCGTCCGGCAAGCATGAAGTATCATGCTCGATGCATGCATACATAAGTTTCTCCCCGTGTCCTACGTCCACTGGCACCACGCCTTTCCCCTCCCGTCTGCCCGGCAAGCCTCTCTGGTGAATCGAGCACCCGAGGCGGAAACGACGACGCGCGCGGCGTTCGGAGTGCCGAAGCGCGCCTCCAGGACGGGACACAAAGGGGTGAGCGAGCGGCCTAGACAGAGAAAAGAAAAATGGCCCGCACGGCAAAACGGCCGTAGCCAGCAGCTGAGGGGTACGTGAGAAGAGGCCAAAGATCGACTTTGGCGTCGCTCGATACAGGAATTGATTGGGAGCCTTACGAAACACCGAAGCGTGCCTAGACACTGCGTTGTTCAGAAGGGCGCTTTCTTACATTGAAAAGGAAAGCACGCGTGGGAGGGTCCCACATCGTGAAGGGCGAGGACAGTGCTGTTGGCCGGGAACGCTCGACCGTATACGTCTTTGGGAAGAAAACCCTGACTGTAACGTGTATCTCGACTGCGGACACAGCAACATTTGCCCGACCGCCATGAGCGTAGTGCGTTTGCACGGAATCACGCTGTAGTGCATAGCAAGTCATTGCGGCCGTCGTAGTCGTAGTAGTCGTCGCCGTCATTGTTTATGCACCGCTGCTACAGATTGTGCCGCTGAAGAAACCCTATTGCCCGTGTCATGGCTTACTGTTGTATTCCACGTGTGTGGCAGTTACACGTACCAGAAGCCCCTCCGGGTGGACGGGTAGAGTCAATGACAGAAATGGAGGATGCCTCCCCTGACGACCGATCCGTCATACAGAGGAAAGGCCGCTACCGGCCAGTCGGCGAGAGATTCATGCAAGGTACAGCAGTCCTGTGTAGTCGGCGGGAGGTGCATGCGAGGTCCAGCAGTCCTGTGTAGTCGGCGAGAGATTCATGCAAGGTGTGCATGGGCGCTTCGTAGAATCATTGGAAACTGGACAAAAACACTTACGGTTATAGTCGTCAGTCGTGCTGCCGCGGGGGCAGATCGCCATGTCAAAGTGATAGAACCTTTTATCTCGTGGTAATGGGTACTGATCAAAGGTCCGTATGCACTCCAGGAGGAGGTGAAGGGGAAAAGAGAGAGACAGATTCTTCCGTACCCTCTCGCTAGGTCCACGAGGCCAAGAGAGAGAGAGTCGGCATCCACGGGAAAAATGCGAAACTCACCTCCGAAATTCTCCCGAATGAGATGAAGAATATCCTCCTAAAATCTGGTACCTCCATGTGCCCTACCGCTTCCAACCACCATACACATTGTCAAGAACGTTTTACCATGAGTGTGGGACCGACTGGTGTCATAAAAGTAAAAGGTTCGAAGCTATGTCGTCGGGAAACGTGGGATTCCTTTTGGGTCCCAGGGCGAACTCGGCCCCCAGTTGGGATTGGGTGTGATTGACGGAGGAATTCCACCGGAAAGGATTGAGGTTTCAGCGCCATCAGGTGCAACCCCCTGATCGTGAATCAACCAATCGTCAAGCGAAAGTCCCCCTCCCCCCCCCGGTATTTGCCATCGGGATTGGGTTTTCGTCGCTTGGCAACGACGTTGTAAAACAAGCCGCCCCCCCGGTGTTTGCCATCGGGGTTGGGTTTTCGTCGCTTGGCAACGACGTTGTAAAACAAGCCGCCCCCCCGGTGTTTGCCATCGGGGTTGGGTTTTCGTCGCTTGGCAAAGACGTTGTAAAACAAGCCAATTCACTTCGTGAACTCGGGCAACTAGGTTACCGTTTTTTTTTTACCT